AATTATGATTGACCACCTGCTTAATACAAACTTCTGAAAACTTAACAAGTACCAAATATACCAAGAGCTAAAATATGCAAGAAACTTTATAAAAGCAGAAAAAATCGAAGACTATACCACAATACAGAAAGCAATAGAAGATACAATAAGTGCAAAACTTCAAGAACTCCCTAAAAGGCCAAATTTAATTTCAGAAGAGATACAAAATATCCTAACCTTTGAACTACCAATTAAAAAAAGGTCTCAAACAACTGCTATAGTAAATACTCTAAGAATTATTTATAACTTCAGCTATCTACCTGATTCATATTTCAAAGAGTTACCTCAACTCCCTAAAACACCTTATAAGCTACCTATTGAGATAAAATATGTTTTTCTAATGTGTACTAGAAGCCAACTTCAACAACTCCGCTACTATATACAAAAGCTCTGAGATCATTATAGTTTTGAGCAACAACTAAAAATATATTTTGATCTACTACCACTAAGAGAAGTCTTGCCTGCAACATACCATGAGCTTAGCAGCTGAGTTCATGAAATGTTCTCAGTAGATTTATTAACAGAAGAGTACACAATTTAAGAAGTGAAAGATATACTAAAAGAATACTATATTTTCAAGAATATATCTAATGACTACTTCAAACAAAGACCTTTACTACTCAAAGATCCTCAAAAAAATCAATCTCAATACCAAATTTATATACCCAATAACAGACAATAAAGAAGCAAGAAAATTCATAAAAGTCACTAAAAAGAAGTACAAAATAAGACTCCCAATTGCAGTAGAAATTATGACTGCAAACTCTACTAACAAACTATAGTTACCTCATGACCATAAAGAAATCAAGGAATTTAATCTAACTATTCCTATTAACATATCACAATTACTAACTGAAATAGCAAGACTACTTAGAACTGCATATTACTTTACAAGAATCCCTGATAAATGGATCGATATTAAACCAAGACAACACAATACACAAAATCAAACAGAGAAGGAAACAAAGCCTCTAATCCCATCTACGCTCATTAAACTCCAAGAGTATATAGAAAATAAAGAAATTAAGCTTCAAATCGAACTACCTATTACTACACAATAAGAAATCATACCAATGATTAATAAGCTTAAAGAGTACTTTGAGATACTACAAATTCCAAACTATTTACTAAATCTACTAGAACTCCCTGCACCATTTTGGTGTATCAGTGTTGTATTTTTTTCTTGTGTGAAGGTTACAAAGAAGGCTGTATCTTTGTAGATGAATTTTTTCTTTATTGCCTCAGAGATTTGAATATTAGTAGTTGTTGTATTGAGTTTGTATTCTATGAAGTTTTTTATTCCTTCATTTGTGTTAAGAGCTTAGATGATTTTATCATAATTCCATATCTCTGTATTGAATTCCTTTGTTATTGCATTTTCTATTGCTTTTTTTACATATTGCTGCCAGTAATCTGTGTAGTCTGTATCTGTTTCTAAATTCATACTATTTTCTAGATTTTGTTAGAGAGCTTAGCTGTATGAAGTTTTCTTGCCTTTGGTTTTTTCTTCTTTAGCTGTTTCTTCTTAGTTGAGTTCAATATCTGGAGTTATTATACGAGGTGATCCTAAGCTTATTATTTCCATAGTTATATTGTTAGTATTCTTAGTTTGGCTATTAGATGTTTGGTCATTTTCTATTTCAATTATTGTATCATCTGGTTTGTTAGTTGTAATTTTCTGTTTGTTGTTGTTGTTGTCACTAGTGCATTATAGATCTCCTGATTTGGTTTGAGTTGCTATAATCTCATTCGAATTAGTAATTGTTGTGTTGTTGTTGTTATTATTATTTTTTCTCACATATGAAACTATCAGAAGTAAGCCATTCTGCTCACTTTTTCTTAGATTTTCTATTCTGATATTAGGTTGTGGTATATCTATAGATGGGAGTGAAATTGTAGAAATTATTATTAATTTCTACTGTAGAAATTGTTGAAATTACTTTTTTTAAATTTGAATTACTACA